CAATCTTCTTTCTGCATCTCCAGCTACGAGGTTATGTACCCTAATCTTTTTAAAAGGATGATATTTGTGCTTCTTTAAAATCTTGTGAACTGTACTTCCCTTGACATCTAATTCTCTGGTAATATCTCTGATAGATTTATCTGGAAACGTTTCATAATAAGCTAACACATTGATTTCTGTTTCTTCGTCTCTTACAATAGCTTTTTTCCCTTGTTTTCTTAAATGTAGCTTCATTAATACAGTGAATGCAATCAGGCGTGAGAAAACTGCATATTTAAATGTTCATGAAAAAAACTCATATACATATAGATTTTTGGAATTCAGTAAAGAACTTAAATCTAAAACATAGTCATAATGTACATATTCCTACTCATCTTCAGAAACCTAATGAGGTAAATAAATATTTTTCTACAGTGTTTAGCCCTAGAGATAATTGCCAAAATAATACAAAATGGTACAGTTGCAATAGGTTTGGTGATGGTATGCAATTCAAATTTTCATTGGTAACGATAGGACAGATTAGTAATCTAATCAGTCAACTTAAGTCAAATGCCTATGGCAGTGATAATAAAAATGCTGTTATGTTGCAATTATGTTTACCAACCATATCCAAACATGTGACACATATAATAAATTGTTGCCTAAAAATTGGCTATTTTCCTGATATTTGGAAATTATCCATCATTATCCATCCAGACCTCTTGCGAAGAAGAATGATCCAGAAAATTTTTTTGATTTACGACTAATTACTGTAATTCCCATTTTATCGAAGGTATTGGAAAAAGTTATCCAATCTCAATTATATAATTATGTAATAATTGAAAACAAAATTATTGCTTCTTGTCAGTCTGGTTCCCGCAAGAATCACAGCACTACGGCAATTTTAGCAAATGTTTTAGATAATACATTACGATCTTTAGACAATAAAAATGTTACAACAGTAATTTTGCTTGATTTTTCCAAAGCATTCGATACTGCCGATCATTCCCTTTTATGTGCTAAACTGTGTTACTATGGCTTTGATGAAAGTTCTTTACATTTTTTTAATACTTACTTGTCTAACCGTCGACAGGCAGTTTTATTTAATACTGTATTTTCAGATATTGCTCCTATAACTTCTGGTATTCCCCAGGGATCAGTTTTAGGACCGGTGCTATTTTTGATATATACTGCAGGTATTTTTCATTCTATCAGATATAGTGAAATCATCGAAATAATTTAATATTGGTATAATGTATTAGATTTTTTATAAGGTTAAGTAGAATAGCCATTGGCTAGACTTCGCCTTATGTAGGTGAAATTGTATTTTGCTTTGTACAATTTTCAAAAATAAAGATATTATTATTAAAATATCTGTATAATTTTAAAGAATATTGTCTACTTGGTGCCTGACGATCCGGAAATGCATGTTGGTAATATTGTATGATCGTACAGATTTTTTTCTGCAAATAAGGTATGCCTCCAGCATTTCACATTTTTCTAAATGTTTAGACGGCATGCTATAAGCTAATAATACCGAAATATTACTAATGAAACAGAAATAGGTTACACAGACTAGTGGATACAACAAGTATCCAACAAATTATTAACTTAACAGTTGTTGTCACTGTTGTTACAACACTTTCAGTTTTTTTTACTGTTTACATTTTTGACGTTGCCGACATGAATTTCATTGAAATAAGTGTAAAAAACTTCACAAGCTTATTTTTAATTTATTTTTCAATTGAAGAGAGTTATGTCCTAATACTTTTTGTTCATAACAACTTTTTCTTTTAAAATATATAAATATATACAGGGTGCTCCATTAAAAAAAACATGTTTTTTTAAAAATTACGAAAAAGCGATGCTCAATTGTTTCTTCGATTGCATCATTAGAATCGACAGAAAAAATGCTGCTACTAGTTTGCTAATTTAATCGATTTCGTATGTCCAATAATAACGGAGTTAGCGTTAGCAATAGTGCGCCGATAAGTGTGGACACCCTGTATATTTCTCATTGTATTAGATTTTGTTGAAAGTACCTATTTTAGAGATAATTCATAATTGTCACTATGAGAATTAATGCATAAATTTCAATATTTATTACTGTTAGTTTCTAATAAGTACTATAAATAATTAACACAAACACAATGAAAGTTAAGTGAAAGTATCTATTTTAAAAAACTGCAGCTTTCGGAAATAATTATCGTTAAATGGATATGAGAATTGTAGTTTTATAATAATGTGAAGATGAATTAAATGGAGAAGCACTATTAAAAGAAAGCATAGTGTTATTTTAACACTATCAAATACTGTGGAAGAATGTTTTTTAAATAGCGCAAAAAATATAATTAATGACATATTTTCACTTTTAAATTATTAATATCAACTTAATATACACGCATTTTAACAGCACAACAAAAAATTGCATTAAAAAAAGTCTCCTTCGAGCCGGATTTGAACCAGCGACCTATGGATGTCTACAAGTCGTATTCCACTACAGTCCACCGCTCTACCAACTGAGCTATCGAAGGTTGACAACAAAGTTTGTAAATACGATATTTGTAATAATAACTAATAACATAATTAACATACAAATGTAGTAAGATAAATATAAAAATAAATGTTAATTTCTTTGTTGTGTTATTACTTCTTTTTATTAATTGTATTGAACTGAACCTAGATGCAAAAAAACTTTTAAAGGCATTAATCATGATATTAATTTTGAAGGAATTGGTAGAGGTGAAACAGAGATATAAAAATCTCGATTACATACATGTTTTGGTGGTTTTTAAATTGCTTTCCAATAAGACAAAATCTTGCAAAATGATAAATGCGTAGGTACGATTTTTTTATGGAAACAAATATTGTTTGTTTTTTATAGTATGTACTAGAAAATTAATTCTAGATGTTTGCTGTCTACAGGAAATCCAAAAGCAAAGGGGTTGTACTTTAAAAACCGCTTTAAAGGTCGCTTATCTGTGCAATGTTGATTATTTACGAGACTTCAAAAAAATGTAGTTTATTTCATTTTTTAGAGGTGTTATTTTTTGGATTTTTTAATAAAATTTGGTGAAAGAAGAATATAAACGTAAGTTCATATTTTACCTCGTATTTTACCTTACCTTACCTTACCTTACCTTACCTTACCTTACCTTACCTTACCTTACCTTACCTTACCTTACCTTACCTACATAAGGCGTCTTTCAAGATTTCTCGAGTGCTCAGAATTCAAACAAATTCGGATCTATTTTTTTTTTCAGAATATTTATATACATATATCTGACATGCGACATGCGGTTACAGGTATAATCAATTCCGATCATATCACTCTTACTTTCATTGTCAACATTTGCCAAACCAGAAATGTTTTTGAACATTTACTGTAATTTTTTAAAGTATAATACAATTGATTTGGACTTTTGGTTGTTCATAAGCATTTTTAAGAATTAATGTGTCAAAATAAAATTAAAACGCAACTACTTATCGAGTTATGTATGACCAGGTGATGGTGATAGTTTAAATAACTAGGTGGATTTTACAAGGTCTAACGACACTTAGAATGTACTATAATTTACATAGAAATCTAAATAAAAAATTTTAGATAAATTTGGAGCGAATGCATTTAAGATGATTTTTTCGATTTGGTTCGGGCTGAGGCTATTGGAGGTCACAGAGACAATAGGAGGTCATGAAGGTTAGCAAAAATTATAATAAAATTTCCAGGGTGGTATTTAAAAAAATGAAGGTGGTGATGGTCCTGGAAAGACCAAACGTTACATATAAAAATTGATTATGCCATTCGATAGGGGGCAAAAAAGTTGTCTTGAGAAAGGCTAAGCTAGTTCGTATCGCTTACTCTTTCCGAGATCCCTGTAGTGAGAAACGAATTTGTAACAGCCTATATACAGGGTGTTTCTAAAATAGGGTTCCAAACTACTACTGCGTTTATAACTCATTAAAATAAGCCAAAAAGTTCCTAATAACATGTGCCCTAAAACGCACCCTTAGGAAGTTATATGCCCTTAAAAGGGCTCAAACAAAACTTAAATTTTCCACTCACCACTTTTACTAATTAAACACTACAAAGCTCAATAATTGACAGTTTATCAATAACTTAAATTGTTAAGCGTTGTGGCAACGTTAGTCTTTTATTTGCCATGGTAAACAGATTTTTGTAGTTTTTGGCCTAATAACTTAAAGAGCAGAGTAATTTTCAAACTCAATTTACTCGAAAACTATTGGAAATATCGATTTGGACAAAGATAATATTTTTTACGTAAAACTGTTAAGATTTTATAAATCTGTAGAGAAAATTGTAAAAAAATTGAAATAAAAAGAATTACGGGCCGAAAACCGCCTTCATCAACCTAAATGGGACGCATATGATTTGCATGTCGAAAAACGGAGTAGCTCATGTTATTTATCGTAAAAAGTTATGTAAAACTCATAAATTTTTATCTATTTATTTGCGACAGTTTTGTTAATAACCAGTTTTGTTTGAGCCCTTTTAAGGGCATATAACTTCCTAAGAGTGCGTTTTAGGGCACATGTTAATAGGAACTTTTTGGCTTATTTTAATGAGTTATAAACGGAGCAGTTTGGAACCCTATTTTAGAAACAGCCTGTATAGGTTATTTCTTTAAGTATTTGATTCTAGTTTATTGATAATTTCATTTGAGATATTTTTTTCTTATATTCTACTGTACCATTCTTTGATAAACTCAGTAATAAAGGATCAAAATCAATCTAACAATAAAGCAAACTGAAATTATTTTTCATTTATCTGAAAATTGTTATAACAAAATATAAACACATTTTTGTTCATTTTAACGTGAAGGGTCATGCCACAATACAACACTCTGTATGAAACCGCGAATGGGAGCTCTAAACTGTGTCGACTTATCAAAATAAAAATTGAATTTGGTCTTTTACATGTCTTTATTGGAACAGTGAACAAAAATAATCAACAACTGGAACAGAAGATCAAAAATAAATAAATAAGTAAATAAAACACAAAGTTGTAATAGAAAATTAATGATTTATTTAAATAGTCGCGTGATGGTAAAGCGACGAGATGGAATCGCATGTACATATACACATTATTCCCAGATTATGAAAAGATTGCACCCTTGCGTGCGTAGTTCTACGTGTTGGAATACGGTCACAAACCACGGACAAGATGGAATTGTTTTATGATGAGAAGTAACTGCAGTTACGCGATGAGTTTTGGTGATGAGATGATGATCAATTGGTGATGAGTCTGGACATTTAGGCGGCCTCGCCCTCGTTTTCATCGTCTTGGGCAGCGGTCAGGAGGGTGATGAGAGCCTGGGTGTCGATCCTGCCGTTGTCGTCGATTTCCATGGCGTCGAAGGCATCGTCGACCTCCTTGGCGGAGAACTTTTCGCCCCAGGTCATCAGAGCGTGCCTGAATCTGGAAAAAGGAAAGAAGTCGTTATCATCATCTTAACTTTTTTCCGTATTTCGAAAAAAAGGGAGGAAAATGTTTGCGTGAGCACTCCGAAAGAGGAAATGATCGAGTACTAACCTTTCGCTGTCAATGACGCCATTTTCATCGAAGGATCTGAAGGCAGCGATGACGACATCGTCGTCGTCGGTACCGCCTGAGTCTGCCATACGGGTGCCGAAGAGACCCAACAACTGGGTGAAGTTGATTGGTCCGGGGGCCTCGTTGATCATCTCGTCGAGCTCCTTCTCGTTACTCAACTTGCCGACGGCGTCGAAGGTGGCGCGCAAGTCGCTCTTGCTGATGATGCCGTCCTTGTCGTGGTCCATGAGTTGGAAGGCTTCCTTGAACTCAGCGACCTGGTTCTGGGAGAACATGGAGAAGACATTGGAGCCGGTACGCTTGGCCTTCTTGGAAGAGCTCTTCGACGAGGTTCTTGTCTCGGCGGCGGGAGCGGCAGCTGGGGCGGGCGCGGCCTCTGCGGTTTCTTCCTTCTTCTTCTTCTTGACCTTCTTTTCTTTGTCCGCCTATAACAAAAATTAATAATGTGTTTTATTTCGTTTGTACGGGGTGAGTCAACGTGTGGTAAAGTTGAAATTAAATTTGACTTATACAAGGTGATTCGTTTTCGGAGAGCTGACCAAAGTTGTATTTTTTTTTTAAATGGAACACCCCGTATTTGAGTGAATATTTATATTTTACATGGAATTATGCAATTTTAATACTATGTGCCAAAAATCAGCCGTTTATGAAAAATAATAAAAAATGACATTTTCAACGTTATACTTGATCGTTGCTGATATACTCGTTTTTTGTAATACAATCTAAGTAATCGTCACACATATTGTACTATGTTTACCGTAAATTCTGAAGTGGGCACTGTTTATAAATGCCATAAAGAGTATCCACAAAATCGTACCAAATGTTAACATTTTCAAAGGCAAAATGTTGTTTCCTTCAAATGGAACACCCTGTATTGTTTAAGTGGAGCTGAAAGACCTTCTCCAAATATACAAGTCCACAAATACAAACAAATATATCAGTCCGAAAATAATAAAACTTTTAAAAAATTCATTGGCGTTCTACATTTTATAATGAAAACGTCGACTAACGACTATTTCACGTCTAACTATGCCACTGGCGGCAGATAAAAGTTGACTTTATTAGAAATGAAGCTCTTTACAAACGTACAATAACTGCCAAATTTTGAGAACCTAACATGACTGTTCCAAATTTATTACAAACTTTTTTCTTTGAATACTATAAGAAATTGTATCCTGAAGCTACGGACCGTAGTTAGGAAACACTCTGTATATTCTATTATTAGCTCTCGAATATTTTTTGAAAAGAAATTTAGTAAAAAAAGACACATTAATCTATTCATCTTTGAACTTTGACAGATATTAGAAGCCGTACTTCCAACAGAGTCTTATTTTAATAATACCCAATTAAAACTTAAAATTTGACCAATTAATAGTGAAATATCCTCTATATCAAATTCATTGCTTTTAGTAACAATTTAAAAAATGATCTTCCCTACTTTCAGTAGTAGTTTTTTTCAATTCAATAAAAACCAATGAGTGTTCATAGAATCGTACCAACTCGTCTATTTTTAGCAACAGTTTAATCGCGCTTTAGGTAACACGACCAACATTTTCAATCTATTTTTAAAGCCGTTGCGCCGACACCTTTATTTGGTGCGTTGCCAAGCTCGAGATACAGCCTCGAACTAGCTAGAGTTTCCATTATGTAAGAAAAACTAAAAAAAGGTGGAACAAATCTGGAGCTTTGGACGTTTGACAAAACTTCTAGTTGCTCAATGTTTGTCAGATCTCAAATTGAGTACACGATTTAGACAAGAATTTTGGCACAGAAAAGCAGCAAATACTTCTTGCTCCAATCCAATACTGTAAACAAGAAATAGATAGTAAATTAAAAGTTTTCTTTTCATTTGTTCATGTTCTTCCTATCCTACATGCAGTATATTTTTGAAAATTGTTTTAAAGTAAATGTAATAGTAATAATATAATAATAATAGTAAACTACATATTCAATTCTTTTCCAATGTATAACACTGTTTAATTATTACAGAAATATTCAAAACCCAATACTGAAATATCCCAACAGGGTGACCTACTGAAGATTCATTCTTCTCCATTTTTTTTGGGATGTGGATTCATTGCAATTGGGCCATGTAAAATTATTATCAATGTTTTAAATTGTTAAAAAGGCAGTGAAATATTAAAATGTTTGACTTAGTTTGTCAGAATTAGAAAAAAAAATTATGAACTGTAAATTATAATAATAAAAAATTGAATCTGATATTCGAACTAGATTTTTAAAATGAACTAACTTTCAAAATCTTTCAGTTCCATAAAATTTTATTAAGTATACCACTTTATCTTGCAAAATTACTTGGTTATATACATTTTCAGTAGGTCATTTTGTGTACCACAACTGAATTTTCTAGTATTATGAAACTCTCGTTCGGTCACATGGTTACAGGATTAATCCACGAATTATGTTTCTAAAAACATACAGTGTCACATCACAATCACTGAAGAACGGTAAACACACCATCCTTTGTTAAAATCACTACGTTTTGCCCAATTTCACTAGATCTCACTATCATTTATCGTTTACCGGTAATTGTGGTACATTCCAATTGTTAACTTACCATTTTGTCGTCGATGTTATGCTCTCCAAGTAACACCCGCGACTGGGAGAGTATCGAGGCGACTCTCTTAAATAAGTTAGGGCGTCGTCAGGCGTCGAGGCGCCCCGAATACATAACCTTCCTCGAGCCTTATATAGCATCTCTTGGAATAGATACTGGCATGTCGGTGAAACGATATATTGGAGTACTATGGACATGGACGACCTGGAAATATACATATTTTTTTCAGGTGCAGTAAGGTACACGGATGTAATAAATTCTAGTAAATTGTTTGTGGTGTATAAGAAATTTAACTACAGGGTGTTGATAATTTATCAATAGATGTTTCTCTCGATTTGACGTCAGTTTGGAGTCACCAGACCTGGACGGTGATTATTCCTTTTGACATAAATTACCTTATCTTGTCATCTGTGAGCAAAACGTGTACGTTATTCAAACTCGGAAATACTGAGACCTACATTTAATAATCTTACGAGTTGCAAAACTTTTTTTCACATAAAATGGCCCATATTAATTGTCATGGGCGAATGCAAAATTGAATGCTCTTTCGACTGATTGACTGTTGACTGTTTGACTGTTGTCCAAACTTATCTCTAACAGTTTTCCAGAAAAATCAGGTTCTTTTCTAAATTTCGAAAAAGTATGTAACAGCGTCAAGAAGGCCTTGCAAAACTACTTTTCTCTCACATTTTATCAGGCCTGAGACTGACAGTGTCAATATTTATTGGCAAAAGTGGTTTGACAAGCACAAGTAAACCTCTAACAACAACTAAAACAAAACGCAAAACGAAACAAACTGAAACTCAGATCACAACAAGGAGAAGACTAGTTAGACCACTGATTTATATCAATTGCTCGAAGTGTCCTCCATTTTGATTAATACACAAACGAATTCGGTTTTTAAAAGACTGTTCAACATTGGTTAGCACGTCTTGAAATGCTATTGTAATGCGCTGCCGCATATCTTCCGCGGTAGTTGCTGGTGTAACGCAAACTTTGCCTTTTATAAATCCCCATAAAAAGAAATCGCAACTTGCCATATCTGGACACCTTGAAGGCCAATTCACTGATCCTCCGCGCCCAATCCATCTGTTGGGAAAAGTTTCGTATGAAAACTAACAAACTGCAGCGGTATTGTGACGTGGAGCACCATCATGTTGCATTCACATTCTTCGAATTGTAGCTAAAGGAATGTCGCCTAACAAATCTTCTAGAGCGCTTGTTAAAAAGTTTAAATCAACTGCTCCAGTTAGATGCTGGTCAAAAAAGAATGGTCCAATGACATGGGGCATAATTGCTTCCCACACGTTCAAAGACCATTGTTGGCTATGAGTTGACTGGAATTGGTGAGGATTTACTGTGTTATAATAAAGGCAATTATGACTATTAACGAACCCATTTCTATGAAAAGCAGCCGCATCGGACCAGTTTAAAAAAATCATCATTTTGATCATCAAATACCTACTGACAAAACCAATCTCCGCTGAAAGTCTACTTTTAGTAACTCTTGGTGTAATTGGATGCGATAGGGAAGTGGTGTGCTGTTACAAAAGTATAAAGTCCTATATATCGACGTTGTACTAATACAATTGCAAGGCCTCCTAGATGCTGTTACATAGCTACTTTTTCGAACTTTAGAAAAGAACCTGATTTTTCTGGAAAACTGTTAGCGATAAGTATGGACAACGTTATATCAGTCGAAAGTGCATTCAATTTTGCATTCACTCTTGACAATTAATATGGGCCATTCCATTTGAAGAAAAAAGTTTTTCAACTCGTAAGATTATTAAATGTAGACGTCAATATTTCCGAGTCTGAATAACATACACGTTTTGCTCACAGATGACAAGATAGAGTAATTTACGCCAAAATGAACTATGAAAACTGCAGATTTCTAACTCTTACGGTTTAGAGTCTAAACATTAGACGTTTTCCAGCCTCATTTATAGAGCTGAAATCGTGACTTTTTTCAAAAACAACTGATTATCTCGAAAACGGTAAGTTTTAAAGACCATGTACATTTAATAAACTCTACCTAATATTAACCAAGGAATTCAAAATCGCAATAATATACAGGGTGTCCCATTTAAAATAACAAAGTTATGTAGCGCCTATGCGAAATGGAACACTGTAAAGCTAAAAATATTTTCTTTATACATGGTCCATATGATTCCAGACAACTTGTATTAAAACCATTTTTTTAATAAATTTTACAGTTACAGAGCTACAGAAGAATCCCTCTTAGGTGGAACACCCTGTATACAACGTGGACCATTTTAGCGATGCATGTATTAGTATCTTGGAAACTATCAGAGAATGGTTAAATGGGGAAAGTTTTAGACAATTCTGTTGCTAGCACCTAACTTTTCAAATTTATTAAAAAAAATTGAAGGTGGCGATTTCGAAAGACGTCTGTAACTTTTTTATTTAGAGAAATTTTCAAAATCTGAAACTACTGTCACAGCAAATTTTGAGGAATTTCACTGTACTTATATTTAGGTTTTCATTGCTACATTTCGGTTACGAGGAACCATCATCAACTTTCTTTTTTCTTATGGGCATCATGTTGCATTTTAAGCTGAGCAAATGTAACATTTTTTTGGCTTTTCAATAATATTTTAATATTTTTGGCAACAGCGCATAATTTTTCGAAACTTATAAAATGGTCTCAAATTTTTGTAAAAGCTTATCATTAAATGTCATGGCGTTGAGTGAAAAAACAGCAATGGCCACGCCGCTATCAAAAAATTGTGGACATTTTATATATGGATATTTTTATTACATTACTTTTGAAACGTAAATACAGGGTATTTTCGTTATTATATTATTATATAAAGATGCTATACGATCATTTTTGCAATTTGTTGTTTGAAGTAGGCCAGAAACCTCAGTTTATGTGTAAGGTGGCAGGAATTCTACTTACATATATTTAGAACAAATGAACATAAGACGAGTTCCAAATTTAAACCAGCACAGGAACACACACGGTATGATTCATAGACTTGTACACTTTACCTGCCCGGTTAACTTGAATATTTCTGTGTAACGTGTATAACAATTTTTATGTGACTTTTGTTTAAAACAGATTTATTGTCATTGTCATTATCTCTTCTCTTTGATATATCTATGCAAATTTAAAACAATGCTATTATAATCCATTTTTAACTACGTTTGTGCCTGGGTAACCTTGATTTGTTATACTTGTATTTATAAATTAGACTCTTTTACTTAAATCAACGTTAAATTGTTGGCCAAAGAACTCATGGGAAAGGGAAACTTGTTGATGTTGAAATTAACCTTATAATATACAGCGTGTTCGTTTAATAACACTTTTTCTCTTATACCTTACACATGGTAAATAGTAAAATCTTTATGGCAAGGTCAATGAAACAGAAAAGTATCAATCTAAAATTAGTACAGACAAAATAGTTGCGTAAATAACTGTTGATTAAATTTTCCTTTTCTAGGATCAAGCCAAAAATGTTTAGGTTTTGAAATTTTATATCGACAAGTTGCTAATTGCGTAACTTTTTTTTTAGAATCAAACAAAAACCTGTTTTTGAATTTAAATCTTTTTTTTAGAATCAAGAATCAAATCAAAAAGTTAGTGTTTAGGTTCTGAAATTTTATATAACATGTTGCTGTAGAATTTAGGTACAAAATTTGCATTTATTCATTTTTTAATACATAACACAAAACTATTTGCATTGTTCTGCAAAATTTATTCCAATTTTATTAAAAAAAAAGGTTGCATCGGCCGGGAATCGAACCCGGGCCGCCCGCGTGGCAGGCGAGCATTCTACCACTGAACCACCGATGCTGATAAAATAATATATTCTGACCATCTATAACAATGTACGTGTATTTAACATTAAAAAAAAATATGTATATTTGATAGAAATGGATACAGGGCTCATGTTGAATTTAAAAAATATATTTTTAAAGTTTTTATTTAAAATTCACTATCGTAATTAGTTAGGTATCCTTGTTTCGACAAATAAAAATGAAGGGACAATTTATTCCATTTATTTGACAAAATATAATAAAATCTATAAATTCGCTTTAAGTATCATTTGGTATTTCATCGATATATTTCTTTATTCTCTAACTTTTCTTGGTCGATACCCAAATATTGAGCTACCAACCCTCACATTGGTGCTGCCCAATTCTATCTACAACAAAAAGCAAAATATAAAAAAAAACAATTAAAAACAAAAATAAACTTACTGCGTGTTCAAAATCATCCGACATTCCCATAGATAAATTGATGTTTTTCCAATCAAGGCCTAAATTTTGGCAAATCTCATCTCTGCAGGTTTTTAAACAAAGGAAATCAGGATTGGGGCCATCTTCTGGGTTATATCCGAACCTTCCAATGGTCATGAGGCCATCTAGCTGCAAATTGCCGCACTCCTTTAAAACGTACTCTGTCAGACTGCAGACTTCTGCTGGCGGAATACCATTTTTTTCTACAAGAATTTTTTTTCAATTTTGGTATCTTAGGTCTTTTTAAAATAGCTTACCTCCTTCACCACTAGTGTTAACTTGGATCATAATTTTTAGTTTGGTATCAGGTGGTCCAAACTTTGGCCAGTGGTTGTTTAAAGTCGTAGCTAACTTCTGAGAATCCACAGTTTCAATGAGATAAATGTTTGGAAGACAAAGGACCTTATTTACTTTATTCTTCTGCAGATGCCCTATAAAATGCCACCTAATATCTTTGCACTTTTCAAGGATGTCAGCATTGGTTGCTTTTTCTTCGAGTTCTTGAACATAATTCTCACCAAAATGTCTTTGACCCCCTTCGTAAGCCTCTAGGATTAAGTTAACAGGTTTGGTTTTACTAACAGCTACCAGTCTAGGTTCTACAGCTTCCAATTCCTTAAAAAGAATAATTGTGTAATATTGCACAATATTTTTTTAGAGGTGCTGTACTTACTGGTGGTCTCTTTTTACATGCTTCTTCTATTCTAGTTAATACGTTTTTTATTCCCTTCCTCACGTCTACGTCGGTCATTTTCTTTAGCATAACAGCACACTGAAGTTAATTCAATGTCATTTATTTTTTTAAGATTGTTTAATATCAGATTATTTTAATCTAACCTTAAAGTTAGTGCTACTTTTTATTTACTTTTCCAACAAGAATGGAATATTTTTTGGAATAATTAAATGTTTCTTCTTTAAGAAGTACATAGTTTTGCACTTCGTCGACAGATGACAAAAATTAAACGTAAGATTTCTATTTCTTTGAAACAAATTAGGAAACTGTAAGAACAACATTCAGTTAGTCATGTACTGGGTTCACCTACTTCCTGGTAGATGGCGCGGAACGGCATAAGAAACAAATTTGCGTTTTGAAATTTTGGAAGATAAGTTAGTCTAGACTTACACCATATGAGTGAGAAATATAGATAAAATACATCGTGTGGATAAACTTTTAGAAAACTTTTTGTCTGATTTAAACGAAATTTGGTATGGTGGTACTTACTTGTTTGCAAATATACCACTTATTTTTTTTAACGAGATTTTACTTCTTCAGATCCTGCTTTATTACAAAAATAACGTCACTGTTTTTCCTTTTGTATTTTTTTTTTGTATTTATAATGGTTTTTGGTCAATCTAATTGTCACTAAAATTTTGATTTATGTGACAATAAAAGCGAAATAATGCTTAGCGAACTTCGGAAATATGTAATCGAATGTTGTTTCACGAACATTTTTCTAAATGGTCACCAATTTTTCAATTAAATTAAAAACATTATACTTACCAGATTATCAGATTTTTCCTACGTTTCTAAATTATGATTGTGGATCGATACGATTATATTTTTATTTGAGGAGCATTAAATTTCATGAAATCTATGATAAATTACTATTCATAATTTGTAGAGTCTGAATACCTACCTATATCATGAAGAAACATTGGATGTGAAAGTTTATGAACACCACAGAGTAGATTTTGATTTTACCATAGAAAAATAATATTTTTGATTGTAGTAGTTGAAGTATTTGTAGTTTAGAATAAGAATTATTAAGTGCTTGTAGTTTAAAGTAAGTTACACACTACCGCAGTTGAATACATCGGAAATAATGCCAAAACTATTCGTTTCACAAAAAAAAAATGTAAGAATTTTTTGTTGGAATATAATAATTTTAAATGCAATGCAATTATCACAGCCAAAAAGTCATTGGTCATCCAATTTTAATTTATTTTATGGGGTTAGTATTCCTCAGAAAATTCCCAAGACAATAATATTTTTGGACTTTTCATAATTACCTAGAATATTTTTAAAATTTATTTTTTAATAGAAATTTGTTGTTTTTGTGAAAAGTTTAATATGAATGTTTTATTTATTCAACTACACCGAATGTTTATTATACTTAAATTTAAAAAAATACCGAAAAATTACTCGTTTTTTTAATAAAATGGAAAACATTTTTCCTTGAAATTAAATGCGCTTATCCAATTTCGAAAATATTTAATGGCTTCATAACCACGGACTGGACTATTTTGTTTGCATTTAATTTTGTATTGTAAAATTTTTTGTTTATTAACATTACTAGTTATTGTTGTTACATACATATTTTTCCTATACCTTACTGTCTTAAATTTGATTCAAGTTTACAACTTTATTCTGTTAGGAAAAATTCTATTAGGATAATAAATGTAAAGTCGCTTTTCTCTAGATTCATAATAAACTTGCAGTTATAGCAACTAATTCATTAAAATGAATCATTTTGTTGTAAGTTGAAAGGTGACAGCAATTACAAACAAACCGATATGTGATAGCCGTATGCAAAATTGTTTTTTCAGCGCCTTCTATTTGAAATGATTTAGAAAGCGAGCACTGTAAAGTCAAAGACTGAAAGTTTTCCATATTTTCTCAAAAATTTCGTTATGCAAAGGTATACAAATTTCATATGGTTGGAAAGTGTTGAAAGATACTCAAGTTACGTAAACAAAAACATTCCCACCCTTAGATACTAATGTCTACTTTTAATGTGTTCATATTTCTCAAGCCCAACGGCTCTTGCTCATAAATTAAAATGCTTATAAACATACGGAGGTATATTGTAGCACTAAGCTTAAGAGAGAATTTTTAGTTTTTAATCTGATTTGATGCATAATAGATGTGCTATATGAATAAGTGAATAAACAATATCTTTTAATTATTAAAGTGTTTTAGTTCTACCCATAATCCCAGTAGAAAGAGCATAAAAAAATATTAAAACATGTAAAAAAATTTATATAATCCTATTTAAAAAAATATCGATGACGTCACTATCACTCATCTACAGTGTGACGAAAAAAAAAATCTACGTTAGTATCTTCGGGGTATTTATAATCAAACAGATTGTATTCCTAAACAATATAGCAATCTGCTCAATTCATTTACATTTTTCATGTATAAACATCATTACAAATATGTAAAAGGCTTATGTGAATTTCCACAATTTTGTCAGTGTACGACCTACCGATGTTTATTCGAACTTTTTTTCTTATTTTGTGGTATTCTTTGAGAATAGACGTCACGAATTGGTGGAATTCGAGACACCGTGTTACATTAACGGGCATTACAGTAATCTATGTAACCGTATATCAATTAAGTTCCCAGTAGCAATCCATCTGAGAAAAATTGCTTTGTTTTGCTGCATTTATATCAAATCGCCGTTCGCGAAACAACTGAGAGCCACGTCCATAAACAATCCCGCCATTAGACGCCATTAATATTAATACCTCTCCAGCAAATGGATTTAACCTTCCAGTTTATGCACAATCTCTGATATATTTATATTAAAAGATAGCGAAGGTTTACGTTATGAGACTTGATTGTAATTTATGAGATTCCTTGCTATCTCGTAAAGCATATTTCCGACGCGCCGCCTACTGTGTGTTTACCGGACGCGAAATGTATGCAAGAGGTAATTGTTTTTACTAAATCACTGTGGTAATTGCTCTATTCTATGGAATGAATTCGCACGTTCGCCTTAATTGAAAAGATTCGGGAAGCGCCGCGGGACGAGGCGTTTTGTATGGTAATGGGGTTCTCCCGCCAACGTCATTTTATTATTTAATTAGAACTGGACTAATAAATTTAATTATATTTATTAGGAAACTGCTGATTGGGTTTAAACAATTCTTGTATAACTAAGGCAACAAGGAAACAATGTGTCAAAATGCTGTCAAGTGCTGCCATTGCGGAAAAACGCAGAAGTAAAGCCATATAACACATCAAACAGAAACTGTCTAACCACAGACAAAATAGCTATCGCCCCAGACCGCTACTGCAATAGGCCAGCAGTTTTAAATTTCGGAATTGTCGATATAGTACACCACCAGCAGAATTTTAGGAAGAATTTAATGCAGCGGCCCGCATTCCTACGCGTATCCTAGCAACATATAAACAACACTTTGGCAATGCTACCAGGCGTACTTACGGATTTATTTTGTACATTTTTTCTATCAATATCTGTTTTTTGCGTTGCTGTATTTACTTAAATGTAAGACGTAGGTATTGTTATAAATGTTTTATAGAATCAACGAATATTTATGTAGTTTCATATGATATTCTGCAGCGGTGTCACAGTTAGATTATTTAATCATAATTTCGTTAATTAGCTACTATTTTCATTTTTTAGCATTGAAATACTGCAGAAAATATATTTCCAAATGAACAAAATTCATAATATTTTAAACAGCTTGTAATATAATTTTTTTTAATATTTGATGATGATACATTTATTTAATATACAAGGTGGGTTATTAGTACGTCGCGGAATGTGGACATGGATATCTTCATTTAATAGTTTCATTACTTACATCTACCTTCATATTTTTCAATCAAAGGTATTTCATTTTAGAAGAGAGTATGTCAAAAGTCTTTATCATAAATCTGTCACATCCTTACATTTTAAGAATTAACGTTTACCATCACTGCCGTAAGTTTTTTTTTTTTTTTGAGTAAACACTGTAGAATATTTTTTTTTTATTAAAACTCATGCCAGAAAATTCCCCAATACCAAGTGTTATGTATTTGCGATTAATAATAAAATTATTGAAGTAAAACTGAAATAGAACGGAAACTTCAATTTTCAGATTTTTCAAGGATACCATATTCGCGACCCTGTATCTCTTTTATTTTGCCAAATAGCTATAATAAACCTTATATATTTTTAAATCGCCGCTCAAACTCTATCAAATGATATTATTAGATCGTCTCCATGGCAACATATGTCAAAATTGCTATAGTCAACTGTTTTTGTTCAAATGGAACACTATATATTTTTTTATCAATTCTGGAAGATATATTTTTCTGCGTTCAGCTGTATAAGGAAGTCTATGATTTCATTAGAAATATTGCCAGAAAATCAGCAAAACAGATGAACCCTACTTTTAGTAGCTTTATTCTTAAAAATTGATAGCCAGCTGCGAAAACAAGTTATTACATGATTTTTAAATATAGTTTGTTTGTAACACGATAATAATATAACAATTTAAAACAATATATATTTCAAATGTTCCAAATCACTTCCATTTGCTTCCAAACACACAATCTCTGTTTATCACTACCTCTCTACAAACACATTTTAGTGTTTCTTCATTATTTAATCTCCGGCATTCTACTCTTATTCTGTTTTTAAGGTCGTCAATATCATTTAGGTAAGGCCAAAGAAAGAAATCTATAGAAGTGAGATCCGGAGATCTAGCAGGCTATTAACATCTTTATCGAATGTTTTTCATCTCTTGCCCTTATGGGTTTAAAAACTCTTCTTTTCTTTTGAAAACTTCCATCTGCCGCCAAATTCCTAGCTAACTTTTCGAAAATGTTATCTGATGGAAGTTGTCATTGCGGAAAACGATGTTGGTATAAGTGCCGGGCAGCTTTAGCGTTCTTTCAGCACTCTCCATAAATTAAAATCATATCTAGTTTTTCTTGGTTACTGTAAGTATTCGTATGATAATTAGTTATAGATAGAACAGGTAGGTACAAAATGTCAAATATTTTGACAAACCGTTATTTAGAAACGTCAAAATTCAGTTGTTTCCCCAGCTGGCTATCATTTTTCAGAATAAAGCTACTGAAAGTAGGGTTCATCTTTTTTTGCTGTTTTTCTAAC